TTCGTTGATTAATTTTTCAATTAATCAATTTTGATAGTAATTTTCTTTAGTACTTTTAAGTATTTTGATAAAACAATAATATTGTTAATGATAAAAATAGGAATGATATTGGGAGAATTTAAAAAATACCCCATTAAAAATACCACTTTTTAAATTTACCCCCTTTTCAAACTTTATCAAAACAACAACTAAAAATGTTGAAATTTATCTAAATATGTGTGTAAACTTATAAATATACACAAAAATTACCTTTATTTGTGTATAAAATTTTATTTATTTCAATGTCTTACAAATTGGTTTGAATATAATAAAAAAATATTTTGTTAAAATAATTACATACTTTGAAAATAAAATAAATATACATGAATATGTGAGAAAGAAAAAAACATATAATGTAAAACAATGAAAATGGTTTATTTAGCTTGATTTTCTTATGGTGCGATGGTCAGAAATCAATATTTTTGAATCCCATCGATAAAGTAATTTCCTTATAGCCATAAAATATTATTATACATATGTATTATACATTTAATAGTAACAAAAACAATAAAAAAAATGAAAGCAAAAGTTTTAACCAAATATATAATCAAGTTCTTACAATGATATCTTAATTGAGCTCTCAACCCATGCAAGAACATTAAAAATTAAACAAAGAAAATATTGAGAATATCAGATATGGTGGGAGAGGATGTAAAAATGAGTATTTATAGGATAAAATATGATGTAAGTTACAATTCTAAAATAATTAAATCAGAAGAGTTATAATTATATTTTATAGTGTGTTAATTGAAGTTAAATGGAGGAAACAAATAGTCAATTGAAAGGTTATATAATTTAAGTTACAATTTAATAGTAAAGTGTGGATTTCAAGTATGAATTAAAGTATATGACTAAATGTGTTAGATATTTGGTTTAATTAAAAATAAATATTATAATTAAAAATAAATGCTAAATGGACCAATAAGGAGAGAGTGAAACCTTAAAAATTCCCAAGAAATAATTTTATTTTTAATCTCTTTTTATATTCCTCTTTATTTAAGTTATATTTCTAGGTTTAATTATATTTTTCATCCTTGTAGTATATATAATAGATAGAAAATGGAATATCAAATTGTTTTTAGATAGGAAATCAAGTATAAAATTCAAAGTTAAAACAAATTATAATGTTCTTTGTATTATTACATGTTGAATCACAAACTAATTGGTTTGATAATTATATAACAAAAATTTTATTTTGTTATTATAAGGTACTTCTATATAATAACTACTACTGGAAGATTCGATACAAATATTTTAGAATGTTTTAAATAGTTTTAAATCGTTTTATAAGTTTTATAAGGTTTTTAAAAGGGTTTATACGGTTTTTATAAGGTTTTTATAAGGTTTTTATAATTTATTTTTACGATATTTATGAATATGTGAGAAAGAAACAAACATCCAAAGTAAAAGAATGAAGATGGTTTATTTAGCTTGATTTTCTTAAAACCATAAAATATTATTATACATATGTATTACATTTAAAAATATAAAAAACAATGAAGACATAAAGAAATACATAAAAAAAATAAAAAAAAAAAAATTGAAAACGAAAGTTTAAACTAAATAATTAATCAAACTCCTACAATGATATTTTAAATGAGTTTTCACCCCATGCAAGAACTTAAAAAAAAAAACAAAGACAATAATGAAGATATGAGATATGGTAGAGAAGAATGTGAGAATGGCTATTTATATGATAAGAAGTGATGTAAGTTACATTTTTAAAATAATTAAATTAGAGGAATTATAATTATAATTTATAGTGTGTTTAATTGGAATTCAATAAAGAAAACCAATAGTCTTTGGAAATTTATATAATTTTCAGTTTCATTTTAGTAGTAAAGTGTGAATTTAAAGTATGAATTAATGTATATGATTAAATGTGTTTTTTGGTTAAAAATAAATATTATATTTTAAAAAATAAATACAAAATGGAACAATAAAGATAGTGGAACCTTACTCTTATATATATGATTTTAAATAATTTTCCACCAATAAGGCTTATAAAATTTGTTGTATGATATATGATTAAGTCCTTTCATTTTCTTTGCCATTTGATTATAACTTATAGTGTAATTAAATTTTGGGAGAATTTCAAAAATACCCCTTTTCATATACCTCTTTTTAAAAATACCCCCTTTTCAAACTTTATCAAAAAACCCACTAAATATGTGAAATTTATCTAAATATGTGCGTAAGCTTATAAATATATACACAAATTACCTTTATATGTGTATAAAACTTTATATACCTTTCATAAATAGCGTAAAAGTAAATTATAAAAACCTTATAAAAACCGTATAAACCCTTTTAAAAACCTTTTAAAAGCCTTATAAAACTTATAAAAACGATTTAAAACTATTTAAAACATTTTAAAATATTTGTATCGAATCTTGCAGTAGTAGTTATTATATAGAAATACCTTATAAACTATATAAAACTTTATAATTTTTTATATTTAAAAAGGGGTATTTTTGAAAATGGATAGATAAAGGGGGTATTTCTCAAAAATTCTCTTAAATTTTGTATTGAATGATTGTCATAAACATTTATTTATTTTGTTGAATGATATATGATTAAGTCCTTTCATTTTCTTTGCCATTTGATTATAACTTATAGTGTAATTAAATTTTGTATTGAATGATTGTCATAAACAATTTTTTTAAAAAAAAAATTAAAACCTTAAATATTTTTCCACCAATAAGGAGAGAGTAGAACCTTACTTTTATATATATGATTAGCTAACAATTTACAATTGCATTCAACTTTATATTTTATGCACGAAACTATAATCCAACCCTCATATAATAGATATTTAATTAGCGAAATCCATAAATAAGGTCAATCCCAAAAATTCATATACATTTTTATATGGATTGATTTATACATTATACATCTAATTTTGTTAAAATTCAAAATATTTGCAAGATAACTTTCAATTAGGTTAGAGTCCGATGATAGTTTCTCGACAACCAATTTCTCATCTGCCTTAATGTCATTGAGAAATGACGTATTTACTTCCTCATCTACTGCTACGATGTTGTGTAACATACTAAGCATTTTTTTGATGGTTAAGAGAATAGGCTTAAGTTAAATTGCTAGTTATGATATATATGAATGGATGTTAATTTCTTAATTCCAACACTTTTTTTTTCTTCACTTCCATCTCCAAATGCCACATTTAAAAACTCTATAAAATATAAAATAAAATATAACAGTTACAAACCACTTTTCTTTTCTCAAAATCGTACCCAAAGAAAGACAAAAAAAAATGTACTGACCACGTGGATTAAGACAAAAACTAAAAAGAACATGTTGATAATTGTTTCTTAAAATATGTAAGAAAGGTAGGGATAAAAACATTATTTTCAATGCCTTTTTTGAACTTAAAAACCATGCATATTCAATAAAAAAAAACTTTGAAGTAAATTAAAAATAATATTAAAAACATAGAAAAAACAATTTTTTTCAAAAAGTTGTTTTCTTCTGCATGCATTAAGTATAAAGACACTTAGAAGTTGTTACAATTAAAGAGGGTTTGATTCAATCAGCAATTTTGTGTTGTAGTAACTTCCTTTACAGTCTTTTATAAAACTTTTGATCTTATGCAGTTTTACATATTTTCCAAAATATAATTTATAATGTTTTAGACAATAAACATATAAAAAAAAAAAGATACAATATACATATTTTTATGATCACCAAACATGATAGATTTGTGTTAGTTCTCATTCTACTGTCACCAAACATGAAAGATTTGTAGATATATACTCTCTTTCCATTAAATTGCACGTACCAAAGAAAAAAAAAGTGTAATCTATTTATTATCTAAAACATGTAAAACATGATCAACATTTAGAAAACTTGTTTCAGTAAAATAAGTATATGAAAGAAACTTTAATTGTTCGTTCACACACTAGACCACAGTGGAGTCCAACTATCTTAGTTTATGCATGTGTCGGTGACTCATATATAATCGCCACTTAGCATAATACGATTGTCTAATTAAGTCAAACCAAAGTTTTGGAATTAATCGAAATGAAAATATATATTATACTTTTTAACTATATTTTTATGTGTACAATAAGAACAACTATTATTCTCTCTGCTTTTACTGTAATTGTATGTTTACATATGAGTATTGAATAATTTATGTATATATTTATAAACCACTAAACAATTATTATATATTTCGATTTTAGTTTTGATGTCCTTCATATAATATGTTTTGGTGTTGTTAGAAATTAAGTGTAATATAATTTACCCTTTTTTGGCCAACAACATGTAATAGAATATCCGATTTTGTATTTAGATGGTGATTGAGCAGCGTAATTAGCATAAACTTTTAAATCATAGTTTCATCAACCTATGATTCTATTTCATTTTTCATTTTTTTCTTACTTTTTATTTATACTTTGCGTTGCAAAAATATTAAATGTTTTCTTAGTTCAGAGTGATTATTTAATATTTTACTTGATAATTTTTTTATAATATAACTTAGTTTAAAGTTTTTGCAGATAATTTAACTACCTAATTTTGTAGAATCATATATCATTAGAGTTTCAAAATGAAATGAGAGGAATCATAAAGTTTATTATCTTCTTCGTCCTCCTGTATATATAGATTTTAACATATTTAATGTTATATAAAAATGGATACACATTTCAATATTTCATAAACAATCAAATTTTTAAATTTTACTTGGTATTCTCTCCTAATATTTCTTTAGTAAAGTTAAAAAATAAAATCAAAACTTGCCAACTTAAAACAAAAAAAAAAAGAGGAAAGAAAAAGCAAGTTCCTAGCCGGCCGTTTTCAATATCTCTTGGCTTCTTCTAACTTTTAATTTATAACAATTTTGTCATTCTCTGAATTGAGTATGTAGCCATATTAAACTGAAGAGTCCAAAACCTTTTTACAAATCACAAACCAAATCATCTCCTTACATATCAATACATTTTGTTACCTCAAACTCTTAGTTACTGTCCATTGAACCTTGAAATCTTTTGTTTTTGAGATTTACAAAAGTTTCTTTTCCTTCTTTAAATCATAACTTTTATTTAGTTTCTTTCCCCTATTGTACTCTCAACCAACCACTCTGATCTTGAAAACAAATCAAACCGAAACAAGAAAAGAATCTTGACAAAGTTTTGAAAGAGCTCATGGATCAAGAAGCTATAGAAATGAGTTCCAAAGAAATGATCAAGAAGAAAGACAAAGGAAAAGAAATTGTCACTTCTTCTGATCATCATCACAAGGAAAAGGTCTCAATGATCTTAACTGAGCAAGAAATAGAGTTTCTTCTACAAAGTAGTAACAAAGAAAACTTAGAAAAATCTAAGAAAGATAATGCTGATGAAAAAGAAAAGAGCACTTCATCATCATCTTCTTCAAAGATCATTCCATGCATTTTCTACACATCAGATGAAAAGGCTCGGTTGCGGTGGTCAAGCGACCTTCATGATTGCTTTGTTAATGCTGTGGAAAAACTTGGTGGACCGAACAGTTAGTAACATATATACACATCTCTTGAGTTCTTCATTTCAGTCACTTATTTTGATCTACTTTAGCTTTGCATGTTGTATGTTTTCATCATAAAATTATACTTTTCTTATGGTTTCTACATGTTTTCTTTGGATTTTATGAATTCATTCATGCATGTTATCTATGATGAAATCAATCTTTATAGAATTGTGATCATCATTGATATTAGAGTTTTTCACAAACAAAAATTGATATAAGAGTTCATATATCTATATAATTTGTTTTGGTTACAATTCATTGATCTTTGTGTATTTTAGATTATATTCATGTGTTTATTTTTCTGTGGATTGGAAACAAAGTTTGGTCTTATTTATCTTTAACCTTGGATTCATTTTCAGTGGTCATAAAAGCTTTGATATTTTGTTTTCATGAAGTGTTATTGATTCTAGAAAAGGTGACTTTAAGATTCATATAGACCATTCTTATATTTGTTTTAATAAATTTTTGTTAGTAAAACTTTATAGATGGTTATATGATTTCAAATATTTCTACATACAGTATGTTAATTTTAATATCTTTTTAGTTTATATTAAACATTTTAGTCCTAATTTTGTTGACATACAACTTTAAATGTTTGTTATTAACATTTTAGATATTAAGTCGTTAATCAAGATGTTACTTTTTTCGTTTTGCGAAAAATTTGGAATGTGTATAATTTATCCAACAGTTTACTTGCGGCGAATAGTTTATATGTATTCGCAAATACTTATTTTGGAGTTTTTCGTTACGCGATAGACATTTTGTCGCTTTTTATTGATATCATATTAACAATAGCATAACTTTGCCACGCGTCATTGCATTCATATATTTTTCGCGTATTAGTAAAAAGATAATTTTGGTTACACAAGAGATTTAAATTATGTATACTTGAATGGTTTACTCTTACACAAACAACATCTATACTTATAGGTAGGGCTAAAACATCCAAAACTGTTGTTGCATTATTGATATGTTGATACATATATTTCTGTTTTTGCAGAGGCAACGCCGAAGAGTGTAAAAGAAATGATGGAAGTCGAAGGAATTGCACTTCACCATGTAAAGAGTCATCTTCAGGTAAGTATTTGCATATTCTTATGTTTCTCATATGACTCGAAATTTAATTTTAATTTTCATAATTTATTTAATATTTTAAGTCTTCTATGTTTTCAGAAATTTAGGCTTGGAAGGTGTAACATTCAGAATGGAACAAATCAGTATATTAGACGTATGTTCAGCTTCATTCCCTTAAATTTATCTTTATCTTCTTCTTTTTTTCTGGTATTATTCGAATTAAAAATTTTGAAGTCTTTTTTAAAGATAAATAATAAAAAGAGTAGTGTACTTATAATTAAAAAAAAAAAGAAAAGGGAAATTTCTGAAAATACTACATTTTAAGTTTTATTTCAGAAAATACTATTAATAGTTTTATTTTTCTGTCAATACTACTATTAATTTTATGTTCCAAAAATGTCACCAAAAGTTTTGTTTTCCAAAAATACCAAAAACACAAAATTTTATCTTCAAGAGTTTAGAATATTTTTTTTGTTGGGTTTTGGTAACCTATTTCAGATTTAGCTTATAATATTTAGGGGCCAAGTTTTAGTGTTTAGGATTTAGAGGTATAGTTTTGAAAGTTTAAAGTTTAGTTTTAGTGTTGTAGTATTTTCGGAAAATTTTGTTTTAGTGGAACTTTTAAGAAATAGAACGAATAATGGTTTATTTGTGATTTTTTTCATTTTAGTGGTATTTATGAGAATTTTCATAGTACTAAATATACTAAAGAGAAATTCCTCAAAATGCTATTATTTTTGTTTTCTTTCCAACAATACCACTAAAATCAAATTATTGTTTAATGGTATGGAATTTTAAATCTTTGGTTTGGGTTGATTATTTGCAATTTAGGGTATTGTATTTAGGGGATTTTAAATCTTTGGTTTGGGTTGATTATTTGCAATTTAGGGTATAGTATTTAGGGGATAGGGTTTAATGTTTAGAATTTAGAATTCAGATTTTGAAAATTTAAAATTTAATTATAGTTTTGTGGTATTTTTGTCCTAAAAACAAAAATGATGGTATTTTAGAGAATGCCCCATATACTAAACCTATAGTTTACGACTCCTTTTTAATTTATATTTCTTAGTATCATATAAAAATATGGTTATGGCATCTAAGAAGTCATATGCTCATCATTACTAAATTTTAATTTTGATTATTTTTGGTTGATGCGTTTCTTTTAATGGTCTTATACTAAAAGATATATTATCCATATTTTAAAAAATTATATCAAAACCTATGAGATAAAACAAAAAATAATTAACGTTATTTAGTTTTCTTTTATTGTATTGATCAAATATGTAAAATAACTTAAAAACAAAATTTCCATTTAAAAAAATATACCAAATAAAAAAATTAAGAGAATTTTTGAGAAATACCCATTTTGGTGTACCTCCTATCCATTTTCAAAAATACCCCTCTTTAAATATAAAAAATAATACAGTTTTATATAGTTTATAAGGTACTTCTATATAATAACCACTACTGGGAGATTCGATACAAATATTTTAAAATGTTTTAAATAGTTTTAAATCGTTTTTATAAGTTTTATAAGGTTTTTAAAAGGTTTATACGGTTTTTATAAGGTTTTTATAAGGTTTTTATAATTTATTTTTACGCTATTTATGAAAGGTATATAAAGTTTTATACACATATAAAAGTAATTGTGTATATATTTATAAGCTTACACACATGTTTGGATAAATTTCAACATTTTTAGTGGGTTTTTTGATAAAGTTTGAAAATAGGGTATTTTTAAAAAGAAGTATATGAAAAGTGGTATTTTTGAAATTCCCCAAAAATTAATGTCTTCTATCTTGTTTCTAAAGGTTTTAAAAGTGCTCGTGACGTTAAAACATGTGCTTCAATAAACCCACCTCGCCCACAAGTAAATATGTAAGAAAATAAGTATTTGTGATAGTTTTATAAAGTTATAATATTCATGTTATTAAAATTATAAAAAACTAATTCATACTTATTACGAGAGTTTTGAACATATTGAGTAGAAAACCTAGACTTATGGGAGCTGTAAAACCGAAGCCAAAGAAAGAAAAAGAAGTCCAAGGATCACTCTACATGCTTATTGAAGTAAACTTAATTATTATCTTTATTTTCTACTAATTAATACATCTTTGTGTGATACATAACGTTTTTAAAACATTTGTTGTAGAACGATCTACGTTTACAAAGATATCGCAGAGCACAAAGAATGCAAAAGGCCTTTGCTATAGAAACTCAACATTTTAAGGCAAGTATGGTTCCAACCTCACCTAGTCAACAACACAACAACTATGTTTCTTCGACATCAACTTCTATATCACAAGAACCATCTTCACATACACAAGAGGAATGGTTTATACCATTTTCATACCATTTCCCCTATGGAGCGACAAATCCATTCCCAATGAACTACTCACAACAACAACCATCTATCATCATACCGCAAAACATCACTTCGGTCGAAGATTTTTGCAATAATGGTATGGCTTGTCTTTCATTGAATGAGTTTAATCAAAACATGACTAGCAATGCATTTTTGATGTACGAGCCATCGATGTATCCAACTCAAGGGAATCTACAGTTCAACGAGTACAATATGGCTCAAGGTTTTTTCAATCCATATATGTGTACTATTGAGTCACAATCTATGCCACCTTGCTTCTCTACTGTCACAACTCCACAACAGCTTCAGCTCAACGATGGTTATGTCATTCATGACTCATATGACAATGCAACTTCAGTATCTGCCACAGTACCACCAATAGCTGATCCTCCTCATCAGGTAAATAACAATTTTATCTTAAATATATGATATTCTTTCTCCCTTTGAGCTAGCTTTTGGGATTTTGGGATTCGTTAGGTCATATTCATAATATGATATCAGAGTCCATGTTTAAGTCCAACAAATAATTTCCCACAAAAATGGTTTCTCACCTACATGTCCCATATAATTAAATGACATGTCTTGTCGTGGCATTCCCGAGATATTGGTTTTGGACAGTTTCCGTGTTGGACTGTTTCCCACCCACATCTCTATAGGGAATATTAAAGTCAAAAGTCTCCCATCGGTAGGGACAAAGATCTTAGGACAATATACAAAAGATGTTGCAATCTTCTGTTCTTAAATTACCTTTTGGGATTAGTTACCACATTCCTAATAATATCAAATCACATATTCGTAGATTATTATGCTTATTTATTTTCTTTTCATCAGGAAACTTTGAACAATGCATTTATATTCTCAAAGTCACCAGAGTCAATACAAGGATATGTTCCACAGTATACGTACAGTTCATATCCACCATACAATACTCTTGAAGTGGTTAAAGCCCAACTCAATGCATTACATAGCTCAAACAGTACTAGCCAAACTCATGAAACACTTGCTCGTCATGAAACCAACCTATCGAGTTCTGTCACAAGGGATGAGGTAGATGACCCAGTGGATAAGTATATTGATTGGGCTAAAGTTGAAGAAAGGGATATTGAACTTGATCCTGTTGAAGTGCTCGAGGCTTTAGGTTTTGGAGTAAGTCCTTAACCTTACTTAATATATAATGTAAATATTATTTGGTACGTACTCGTGTTATATTGTATATAACTTTGTATGTTTGTATTGTATTCGTACGTAGTCTTAGCTAAGTATTGTGTTATTCTGTATAGAACATCGTATGTCTGTATTCGTACGTAGTAATCACCTTGGTTGAATGATATTAATATAATACAGCTTCTAGACAGTACAAGAAAACAAGGTTGTAACAGACGGATTCGGTAATTACTGAAAGAATACCGACGAATTACTAACGAAAAATGTGTGTGTAATCTGTCGGTAATTTATCAATATTACCGACAGATTTATAAAGAATTATGTCGGGTTACAAGATTTGGTTTATCTATGGTGAAAGATCCGAGTACGGTAGTGCTAGCGAACCATATATTGTTGATAGCGTAGAGGAACCTGGAACGGAAGTAGATTATGGTGTAGGTACTGTTCAAATGGTGAATAATGTGTACTGGAAAAATATGCAGTTGATGGAAGAAAATGTTGATAGGGTAGAGGAACCTAATGCAGAAGCACAAAAGTTTGTTTCTATGTTGGACGCAGCTAAGCAGCCGTTATACGGAAGATGTAGAAAAGGTCATTCGGCATTATCATTTGCGAGCAGATTTATGACGATAAAGTCAGACTATAATTTGGCTGAGGAATATGTTGATGCGATAACCAATTTTATGAAAGACATTTTGCATGATGAAGACTAAAGTAACTATTCTTCATAAAAAGAAAAGAAATTAATCAAGATCGACGTCACAATTTGTCAAGCTTATAAAATTACAAGAAATAATGATAATAATGATATAAAATTGTATTTAGAATTTACTAAAATGTTTGTTCTATTTCATAAGCATATTAGTCTTTTAGTCAACAATTAGATTGGGCATCATTTGCATAATTTATTTTACTAAAAATGTTTTAGCGAATAGAAAAAATTATAAGTGATACCAAAATAACTTTAAATTGATGTAAAACTGATACGAAAGAGTTAAAAATAACAAATTTTTAATAATACTTTTAAGATTATTTTTTAGTATAGATCTATTGTCTAGAAAATTGTTAAAATGACATATTTCATACCACAATTATAAAATTTATTATACAGCAGTATATATATATATATATATATATATATATATCCCAATAATATACGATTATCAATCAAAACCTATATGTTATAATATATATATATATATATATATATATATATTTAATTTGGACCTAATCTGTAATGTTTTCATGGCAAATTGGATTGAAACATGCAAATAATAAGATGTCGGCAACTTTTAAATTTCTTTTTTCTAATTCACTGTAGAAATATTTTAAAAAAAATTGTAATTTTTTTTTATAAACCTATTTATTTTTTATTTATTTTTGTGTCACCAATTGTTTAGAATTGAAATATGTGGAGAAAAAAAGAAGATGACAATTGTCACTGCTCCAAAAATACCATATCCTAAAGGGAGAATTACTTAGATAGACCACAATTGTATGTTTATTCCTTAAACAACCAAATCTTTTTTTTATTCCTTAAATGTCTTTCAAAATGGGTGTAATTACAATTAACACCCTTGGTCTGTTTTCTCTTAAAATTGCCACATCAGATCCGAAACTGCCACATCAGATCCGAAATTGCCACATCATCATCGACAGTTATTCTTTCATTAATTACAAAAGAGAAACTGAACAGTTTCTTTCTCTTCACTGTTCACAATTGAAAAAAAAAAAAAAAAAGTTTCTCTCTCGCGACAGAGAAATTCCTCGCCGCCGACGACGAAGACAATACTCGCCTTCTACACAGTACTCGCCGCCGACGCTCTCTCTGTTTCGGTCTTCAAACTCGCCTTTAGTCGCTGTGAAGAGAAGAAGTCGCCGTGAGTTCGTCGTAGTTTCTTTGCTGCATTCGAGACCTTTCATATTCCGGTAAGTGTCGAACTGTATTTCCGACTATACTCGTGTTTGTTTTTGCTTATTATGGTTGATTGTCGCCGTCGTTTGCTCTATTCATTCGACGGCTGAGTTACAGTATTCGTGACGGCTGATTTGTCAGATCTATAGATTTGACGACTGAGTTACTTATCATGTTATGGCTGAGTTACTTATCATGTTATGGCTGAGTTGTCTTACTTTGTTATTGATGTGGCTGAGTTATAATATTTGTTATGGCTCACTTAGTAACTTGTTTTAAGTTGCGGCTGAGTTATAGTTTATGTTGTGGCTGAGTTATAGTTTATGTTGTGGCTGAGTTATAGTTTATGTTGTGGCTGAGTTATAGTTCATGTTGTGGCTGAGTTATAGTTCATGTTGTGGCTGAGTTATAGTTTATGTTGTGGCTGAGTTATGATGTGTTTATACTTATTTCAGATGGCTGCAGAACAAGCAATGCGTTACCCACCGAGACTTTACGAAGAAGGGATGTCTAGCCTCAAGAAAAAAAGCATGTGTACCTATTTTAGGATGGCAGATTTCCCTGGGGTTAGGGAATCAATTGGACAAGACGCGTGGGATGAGATCAAGCAATTACCTCTTGGAATAGTTGCTAAACTAGTTGAAAGCAAATTCGTTTGGTCTGCTAAGACTGTACACTATCTATTGTGTAATCAGTTGAGAATTAAACACAAAGAGCTTTGGTGTTTAGTTGGTGGCCAGCCTATAAGGTTTGGTTTGAATGAATTCGCTCACCTCACGGGGTTAAACATAGATCCAACTCCATCAGAGAAGTTTGAACCTTCAGTTGACTTCAAAAAGTTCTTAACAGAAGAATTGAAAGTTCTCGGTGGGGAAGGTCCAACATATGATGAGCTACTTAAAGGATTATTAGTGTGCCGGTCATGGTCTGTTGAGAAGCGCAAGTGGTTGGGGCTATTGATTTTCCTAGCCATTGGAGTCTACTGCGTGCATCATAACTCACGGATACCATTTGAAGCTGCAAAAATAGTTTCTGATGATAAAGCCGTGAAGGCTTATCCATGGGGCCGGTCGCATTTGAGACTATGGTTGATAATGTGAAGTGCTTGAATCCTAGAGGTAGTTCCTACACCCTTGGTGGGCCGGTTTACGTGTTACAAGCTTGGGCATATGACTCTATCAAATGCTTAGGAGAGCGATTCGGGAATTTAGTCGAGAATGAAGAGATCCCGTTGTTTCGATGGCCTGGGACCCGTACACGTTCAGCATTAGATGTGGCCATTGCTGAAGATATCAAAAAGTATAGTGAGGTAACTGAAATCCGTCTGATCTCTGTTTTATGTTATGACTGAGTTACGATTTAGGCATGGCTGATGTATATATTAGTAATGGCTGAGTTATAGTTTATGTTATGACTGAGTTACGATTTAGGCATGGCTGATGTATATATTAGTAATGGCTGAGTTATAGTTTAGTTACGGCTGAGTTATATATTAGTGATGGCTGAGTTATAGTTTAGTTACGGCTGAGTTATAATTAAGTTATGGCTGAGTTATAGTTTAGTAATGGCTGAGTTATAGTTTAGTTATGGCTGAGTTATGTATTTGTTTTGTCTTTATGAGTTATACTTATTGATGTTTGTCTTCTAATGTAGCTGCGTGTGAGTGCAATGGTGATGAAGGGTGATGTAAGTGAGCTTTTTCATACGTGGCCAAATCAGACAGAAGAAGACCCAGAACTTGTCAACTTGGTCAATGACATACATGAAGAAAAGCTTGTTAAAGGTTTTTGGGATGTGAAAGTGAATGAGGACAAGAAGAAGAGTGGAAAAGTTAAAGCAGCGGTTGAGTCTGAATCTCCCGCTGCTAAGAAGTAGAAAGTTGAAAAGGGTGGTGATTCTGGTGCAGAAGATGCACAGAAGAAGAAGAAGAAGAAGAAGATAAACGAGGAGGTAAAGCCTCATGAACAGAAGACTAAGAAGAAGAAGAGTGAGGAGGTAAAGGTAAGTTATATGTTATATAGTCATATAACTTTGTGTATGTTTTGATTATCAATTTTTGTGTATGTTTTGCAGGCTGATAGTGAAGAGGACGATGCTGGTGGAAAGGTGTCACTTAAATTACTCGTGGGTATGGTTTCAGAAATGAAATCAACTATTGAGACCATGAAATCAAAGGTTGAGACCTTTGATGATAAGTTCACACGTGTTGATGAAGAATTCGTCAAGATGAAAGGCCTAATTTCCTTCGTTGCCAGAAGTGGAGGCCTAGCTAGTCTCATGAGTGGAGGCAAAAACATTCAGAATGACGACACATTACCACTCAAGAGCATCTCCAATATAAGAATCAGAGATGCTTTTGGGAAAAAAAAAGAACAGACTCCTGTAATTCAGAAGAAACCGTCAAGCCAAGACTACTCTGTTACTAGTCCCCCGGTAAGTTGAGTTCTCTTAATTTTATGTAATGGCTGAGTTATTCGATTTTTTTAATTAGTTGTTTATGTTATGGCTGAGTTATCAAATACATTACGGCTGAGTTGTTTATGTTATGGCTGAGTTATCAAATACATTACGGCTGGCTGAGTTATATATCTGTTTTGGCTGAGTGGTTTTATGTTATGGCTGAGTTG